CAAATAACAATCAAACTGAAGGCTAAATTTGCCATGATTCTCCCAAATAGCATCCCCTTCAAGTTGCTAAGGCAGATAAAGTTATAGTAGCACAGATTAGTAGCCTTAGTTGTCATGCTAGTGTATCTGGTAATAGAATTCTTATAGGCTTAGTATTGTACTTTACATTAAACTCTCTCTAATATAAATATATCTGCCAGAGCTCCTCAGGAAGTAACATTTTCCATTATTTCACATGGTATCAAGAGCACAGTAAAAACCCTAATAATTTTTTTTCGATTCTCTCTCTACTGCCGCCGCCAGAGATGACCTCTCCCTCCACGCAGGCTTCTTCCGCAGCGTTGTCCATGGCAGTTTCCTCCGCCGCTGGTCTATCTTCTTCTTCCGTCGCGGCAGGATTTTCCCTATCGCCCGGCGCTCCACTTCGGTACGGAACGCAGCCGGCCACCAACTCCGAAACAGGTGTGACGTTTTCATCCACCTTCGCTTCTCCCAGCCGGACCGCCGTGCCTCACTCTCTTTTTCCGACAATGCCTCCGGCGTTTCCTTGGCCGGCACCTACTCCAGTACACCGGATGTCTTTAGATCCGCCACCCCTCTCGGCCGCCCCTTTTTCTGGACCCACGTTTGTTGGATCACCGGGTGTCTCCTCTACCCTACCCCCTCTTCGGACCACCGTGGGCAGTGCAGCCGGTTCCCCCTTGGCAGACCTTGTACACAGCATCTCTCATGTCGCTACTAATGTCACCAATATTGTTACCACAAAGCTCCTAGCAGTGGAAGACTATACTACTTGGCGTACCCAGTTTGAGTCCTATCTTATCTCACAAGGTCTTCTTGGCATGGTTGATGGCTCCATTCAGGTACCCCCTGCTTATTCCATAGATGCTCTTAACCGTCAAACTCACAATCCCGAATTTTCTACTTGGTTAAGAATTGATCAAACCATCCGTTCATGGTTATTTGCAACCCTATCTAGGGATGTTCTTATCGATGTACGTGATTTAAAACATTCATATGAAATTTGGGAGCGGTTGGAGTCTCAGTTTATGTCTGCTAGTTTAGCGAGATCTATGGAATTAAAGCGTTTATTTAATCAAATTAAAAAGAAACCTGATCAGTCCATGGATAATTATTTGCGAGAAATTAAAACATTAGCTGATGATCTTGCCACAATCAATTGCCCTGTGCCTCAGCGTGAAATTTTAAAACTACTATTATGGGTCTAGGACCTGAGTATGAATCTTTATACACTGATGTGTTCTTATTTGGACAAAATTTCCCGTTTGAGACTCTCCGTAATCATCTTCTTGAGTTAGAGCAGCGGGTCCTTTATCTCCGCTCCCAGGAGTCCCAGTCCATTCATCAGGCGTTTGGCGCGGCTGTTTCATATCCCAGGCAGTCGTCTGGGCAGCAGCCAACCCAGCAGAATTCGGGATCCACTCACCCGGTCGGGCAGCAGACTTACCCGGTCGGGCAGCATCGGCAGAACGGCGCTCCACAGCGCGGGCGAGGACGTGGTCGCGGCAGAGGCCGCGGAGGCAGGGGGCGTGGTCGAGGACAGCAGCAGCAGGCATATTGGTCCCCCCAGGGGCATCCAGTTTATTACCTCGGAGGAGGTGGGCAGCAGAGTACTCCTGCAGGGGGTGTGACATCTACGGGTACTGTTATTTGTAATTCTGCTGTGTCACATTTAAATATTAATGCTTTACCTGTCTGTGTTACTAACAGTAGTCATACAGGCTTTCCATCAGACGGAGGTATTCTTGGATCTGTTCCCCACCCTGTTGTCTGTCAAATTTGTTTTTCTGCAGGTCATTCTGCCATTAACTGTCCTTCTCGTTTCACACAACCAACGTCTCCTGCTCTGTTGACTACTCCCGGTGACACTACTCCTGCTCTATGGTTTCCTGATTCGGGAGCTTCTGCTCATATGACTGCGTCTGAAAGTAATTTAGTTAATAAATCTCCCTACACCGGCTATAATTCTGTTAGTGTTGCCAATGGTGCCCATCTTCCCATATGTAATATTGGTGATGTTGCTTTACCTACATCTGGTCGTCCTCTCACTTTAAAATCCGTTTATCGTGTGCCTCAGTTAAAATATAATTTAATTTCCATTAAAAGGCTCTGTGCTGATAATAATTGTACTGTAATTTTTGATAAAAATTCTTTCTTGGTTAAGGACAAAGCAACGGGGGCAATACTTCTGCGAGCTACTAGTAGTGGACCACTTTATCCTCTCCATCTGCCGTCTGCATCACCATTAGTTTTTGCTTCCGTTTTAGCTTCTGGCCCTGTGTGGCACCGTAGATTAGGTCACTGTGGTGATAGTACTTTACAGTTTCTTAAGAGAAAACAATTTTTATGTAGTCATACTCCCTTTACTCATGAGTGTGTGGTCTGTCGTTTAGGAAAATCACAACGTTTACCTTTTATGGATGCTAGTCATAATTCTATTTTTCCTTTGGAAATTATACATTCTAATGTGTGGCAGTCACCTGTGTATTCAAATTTGGGATTCAAGTATTATGTATGTTTCATTGATGATTTTTCTCGTTATACTTGGATATATCCCATGTGTCACAAAAATGAGGTTTTCTTGCACTTTAAAAATTTTAAAGCTTTGGTTGAAAATCTTTTTAATCAGAAAATTAAAATTTTTCAAAGTGATGGGGGAGGTGAATTTGTTAATAATAATATGCAGCAATTTTTCTCTGCTAATGGCATTTACTTTAGAAAATCTTGCCCTGACACACCTCAACAGAATGGGGTTGCTGAGCGCAAGCATCGTCATTTACTTGAGTTAACTAGGACCATGCTTCTTGAAGCTTCGGTTCCGAGTCACTATTGGGTCGATGCCATATTTACTGCTGCATATATTATTAATAGATTACCCTCTCCTACCTTAAATGGTCTTACTCCGTATCAAAAACTGTTTAACCGAGTTCCAGATTACTCCTTTATGCGAGTATTTGGTTCTGCCTGTTATCCAAATTTTAATGCCACCTCAGCCAATAAATTATCACCTCGTTCAGTTCAGTGCGTTTTCCTTGGCTATGCATCCGGTTATAAAGACTATCGTTGTTTGGATCCTTTCACAGGTCGAGTCTATGTTAGCCGTCATGTTAGGTTTCATGAGGACACATATCCTTTTAAAACTCTCTCGTCTGCTCCATCCAGGTCTATTTCTACTACAGCATCTCCTATGCATCTCACCGATATCACTCTTGACCCACCTCTCCAGCCTGTTCCCACAATTACGGCCGCACCAGCACCAACTCCATCATCACCACCTCGGTCACCAAGTATGCCTATCACTCCGTGTGTACCGTCGGCCCATTCCTCCGATCCCACGTCCACAACCAGCCCCCACCATCCCATCTCTCCTCCCATACTTCGTCTAGCACGCCACAGCCAACATCAACCGACACTGTCTCACCTGAAACCACCTCACCTACGTCCACTACGGTAGTTAATCACCATCCCATGCAAACCCGTGCTAAGTCAGGAATTTTTAAGCCTAAAACCATTTTTAATTTAAGTACAGTTACTGTCAATGCAGATCCTACCTGTTTTACTGAGGCAAATAAACAATTAAAATGGCGTGAGGCAATGGCTGATGAATTTAATGCACTCATTAATAATAATACGTGGGACTTGGTGCCCTTTGATAACTCTAAAAATATTGTTGGTTGTAAGTGGATTTATAAAACTAAATATCATTCTGATGGATCTTTAGAGCGCCATAAAGCTCGATTAGTTGCACAGGGTTTTAATCAGCAGGCAGGTATTGATTTCTCTGAAACTTTTAGTCCTGTCGTTAAACCCACCACTGTTCGTATTGTACTTACTCTAGCTATTTCTTTCGGGTGGGGTATACGACAACTTGATGTTAAAAATGCCTTCTTACATGGGAATCTGACAGAAGAAGTTTATATGCGGCAGCCCCGTGGTTTTATTCACCCTCACTTTCCTAATCATATTTGTCGTCTGCGGAAGGCCATTTCACATCTGGTACAAAGGTTGATCATTAGAAAGTCATACCACCAAACCAGTTTTGATTCGATTTGACTCAATTATATTTTGAAAATATATTAAAATTTTAGAAATTGCCCTGAGTAAAAGAACGTTTTGAAATTCCAAAATATGACCTTTATATTTTTATTCCCGAAATGAGAGTAATTTTTGCCAAGTTTGGAAATAACTTGGCAGAGGCTGCCATGTTTAAAGCCCGATAATGCCAAACTTGACATGAATTATTTGTATTTTGGGAATAAAAACATGACAACCCTATTTTAGAATTTCAAAAACTTCTTTTCTCCTATTTAGAGAGTTTTCCCTTAAAATTTCATTTATTCGATTTCACATGGTTTTTGTTGTCTTAATGCGATTTGTATGAAATACAACCAAATGCAATCTAAACTTCATATGGTTCAGTATTGATTTATTTTAGGCCTGCTGGTACGGTTCAGTTTGGCCAAACAAAGTGACCACTGCTTTGCATTCACAGTTCACACATCTCATCTCATTACTTTAATCCAATTAGATTGCCCAAAATCAGGAAGCTCAACTGCATCAATTTTCATCAATGAATAAAGTAAAGGTGACAACTCCGGTACCTTTCTAAAAAATGAGGTACCGTACGTATCATTCATTTGATTGGACCACATCACTTTATCATTTTTAATTTAGATTTAAATAATTCAAATGCTACATTTTCATTGATCCATGTGGACAAAGTAATGGTAGCTTATGAGTACTATAGAATCTACCTAGAGTAATATGACATTGGATGGTACCCTAAGCACGCAGCTAGATGAATTTATAATATGACACTGGATGCATATAATTTGTGTAGAGTCTGGGGATAACTTCAAATCCTTATCCGCGCGTAGTTAAATTATAGAGATTCATCAAACAGTGGTAAAAACGAACTCTTCCAACGATCAAACAAGAACTCTTTTATCACCTTTAATTATATACTACCTTCTTCCTTGAAACAACTTCCCATACCGGATTATAATGTTTGATTGACGATAAAGTAACTTGATTCATGTTCACACTCAGATGGTTTCTAATAAATAAAATTTATATATTCAGAAACTACATTAAAACCGTTACAAAACCCGATAAAAAAGAAAGTAAATTTTGGATATATAAAGCAAACGATTAAGAGTAATTTAAGTTGACTATGTGAATAGTTATGAGAAATTAATATTGGGAGGGAGGGAGGGAGTCTATGGTTAATGGCTTAGTGGTTCCAACACATTTCATCTCCACTCCAAGATTCTTTCAACTTTGGGCTACACGGTCCTTGCTCATGCGTAACCTCTGGGGGCAGATTCTGTCGGAAAGGTTTCAGCTCCTTTGCAATGCCATAGGTAATAGTCGGACCCCATGCTAAAGAACTGTTCAACCAATTTGGCTCAACCACAGCGTCCTCGCCCAAACACTCTGCGGAAACAAGCGTGAAGTTCAGCCCAGTGTCCATGGACACATTTCCAATTGCAGCAGAATTCTTTATCTTCACTAATCCACTCCCTAGCAAGTTCTCTCCCTTTTCCGGATATGCAGCATGGCCGTGCAGGGATGCATAAACCACCGGTTTATTTGTCGCATTCAAGAACTCCAGCTGGGGAGCCTTTACCCAAACTCCTCCCGCGTGCTGTGAGAAGAACACGCTTTCTAACGCCCCGTCGAAGTTGTTAATCCTTAACGTCACGTGTTCCCAATCGCCCGTGTGTTCTCCTATTGTTTCCAAGGTGATCGTCTCTGGCCCGACTTTCAAAAAGGCGGGGCCATTGAAGGGGTAAAACACCCAAACTGCCATATCTGTAAACGTCCCGCCAAACATTGACTTCACGTGTACATAGGCCGTCGCGTTCTGTACGTCGCCTCTCTTCACTCTCTGCTTCTCTGTAGCGTTAGCCGGGAGGTCCAACCAGTACCCGGTGCCATTTAGAGGAAGGTTCGACCCATTCAGCAACACTGGAACCCCCGCTTCTGATGATCCGTTTTTCCACACTAGTAAAGCCCCGTTCTGGAAAAACCATTCCACAGAAGAAGGCAGGAATTTCTCATCCGGATGAAAGTAAAATAAAGGGCCGTAGGCTTCCATCAAAGTCTGGATTTGGGTCTTGTTTGGCATCGCTGCAGATGAGAAATTTTGGTTTGTGTTTCTCAAGCAAGCCGGGGTAGGCGGCAGTGAAGAAAGATTGGTTGAACTGGCTTGAATCATGAATGAACACATGGCCAGAGCGCGAGCTTGGACCCCGCCGCGCTCTTGCGGTATGGCAGTGGATATTGACACGCCATGCACGCTCCAAATCGGATCACCCGCGGTCACAGATGCATCTGTGAAATTGGAAAGGACGCACCTGATTTTCCCAAGGGGAGGCTTACTAGACGTGTTTGTCACAAGGAATCCAACGGCTGCATATCCGGTCGTACAGTTGGGCACCCAAAAGTAGACTGGCTGTGTGGTATCAAGGCCTGTCTTGGTGCTATTCTGGCTACACCAAAAGAGGGCGTAGTCCGTCGGTTTTCTTAGTGAACGGCCCGTGACGTCTTTCCCGACAAGGACGCCTCCGAAAAGCGGGACATTGTTCGCTTGTGCATATGATCCCAGAATAAAGAATCCCTCCGGCAGCGACGATGGTTCGAAGAAAGTGGCACCATTGCCCTTGCTGGTATTCCACACCTGAGTGAGGTTCCTTGTTTGGGACACTACCAATCCTCCAAGGTCAATTGCTCCACTTCCGAATGCTCCTTCTGGAACTAGAAAGACGAGCAAGCAATCCAAATGATACCAAATAAAGATATTGGACGACTCATTGATCATGACCATTTTCAATTTTATATTACCAATTGTAGTAATCACATTTGTATCCACAAACTTTAGTATTATGGTATGCTTCATGTCTAAAAAGATTGATTACCTGTTTTCCATTGCGGCAAGGGCGCGGGGTAAGTGAAGCCTTGTAGAATGGCCGGTGGCAAGCTCACTTTGAAGGATGAATCAAAATCGTAAGAAGACGTGTTTATGGAGCTTATATTCCCCACAGTTATTGGGCTATCCTCCAAGTGATCAATTTGCATTGGGAATGATGAAGGGAAGAAGACCACCCAAGCAAATAGGATACTCTGCACCGAAACAACAATGTCTTCTTCTAAGTTTTTGAAAAACTTGAATTGTCTCAAAAGTATTTGTTAATTTCAACCACACCATTTTATTTTGCAACTCAATTTTAATCAAATTTTACGGATGGAGAAGTTAATAAGAAACAAAATAAGAGTTGTTGTACCTAAGCAAATAATGAAAAACAAAACACAAATTCGAAGATGAATGAGAACTGAGAGCATACTGAATTTTACGCACAATCCCTATAGGCTCCCTGTTACTCCCTCTTAAAATTATCTAATTTTATCTTTTCGAGAAATTACTTTTATAAAGCATAAATATATATGTACTAGTTAATTCACTAAAAAAATTGTTAGAGAATTTTAAGTTAGAGATTCTTATATAAGATTAATATTTTAAAATTGATTAAATTCTTGCTAATTCTTTGGGAAAAATAGGATTAAATAATTAATAAAAATTGCATAATTTAATTCATGTATATAAAAAGTATTGAGATTGATATTAATTTGTAATTTTAAAAAATCACAATGGGAGAGTGTAATTGTTATAAAAAATTAGGTTTGAGCCTTTTCTAATAAAAGTTATGGAATATGATAAGCTAATAAAGCTAATTTTAACTATAAATTTTTAAATATGTTTGAGGAAAACACTGGAACTTCACTTCATTAAAAATGATTTTAAGTCTGACACATTTCATCATTGGAGCAAAAAATGAAAAGGATGAGAGATAGAAATAAAGTGTAGAAAATGTTTCAATTTTATGGAATGTCCTCGAAGGGACAAAGTGTAGACAATGTCTATGACAATGTTCACACATGGACTCACATGGGATTCAAGCAATATAAATGAATGAAAAATGGAATAAAAGTAATATAAGATCAAAATAAAAATAAAATAGCACTCCCTTCGTTCTTAAATTATCTTCCGAAGTACATTTCACATGTAAATTAAGATAGCGGTTATTGAGTAATGTGTGCAGAGGATAGAGAAACGTGTAAGAAAAGTCATAAAGCACACATTCTTTGCCAAATGGAAAATTGAAGGTTGTTTTGGGACAGACGAAAAATAAAAATTGAAAGATAATGTAGGAACATAGAAAGTATTGCGCTTGTAGGTCATATGCATAAGATTGTTAGACAGAAAATGAAACCCCTAAATTTGAGATTTTCATCCCAAAATCACTGCAACCCTAACCAAAATATAGTAGGACCATTCTTGGTGTACACAAGTTGTACACAAAATGTGTACATTGTTTGTGTACACAGACAATTTGACATCAAGTCTTGTCCCTTTTAAAACGAATTGCGTGTGTACACAGACAATTGGAGAGGTTTTGTGTACAATGTACAACTCATGTACACTAAGCATTTTCCAAAATAGTATAGAGGGGTGCTCCAATTGGTTGAAGGAACTCTTGAGTGGAGAATTTGAAGGCTGGATTCACGGCAGCAGAGGAGTCAAGTTGGGCGCATGTAAGAAACAAGATGCTGGCTCCATACATGATACATAATAAAAATCTCAATTCTTTTAGAGCATCTTCATGGATGCTCCTCAAATATTCGATTTCTTAGCTAATATTTTTCTCTTGTCATGTCATTTTCTCTTGTCATGTCATTGCCATATAATAAAATCAAAGCGTACTAATTCACTCTATTTATTTAGTTTTATGGAGTTTTTTGTTATTTTCAAGAAGGTATTTTGATCATTCCAAATTAAAATATATGATATTGTTGCAAAAAATGTGTTTATTGAAATGTGAGAATAATACGGAGTATTGAATAATCTAGAATTTAATATTTGATACCAGATTTTTTATCTAAATAACCTCATTTTCTCAACCATAATATTTAAAAAGATCTGCCACATCATCAAAATGATTCCCAACTAATATCATGAATGAGGATACCCTTAAAAGTGGTATAACTTTTTTATTTGTAACCCAATTTTTATATAAAAAATATCAAAATGTATCATTTTTTATGGTCTTTCATACGACACCAATATTTTATATATAAAGTTTTTCTTTTAAAATATGAAGTTTCATGTGATGGAGGTTTTTAGGCTTAATTTTTCTTAAGTAGATTAAAATGCTAAAACTAAAATCTTATAGTTATTTTTTATTTTTTCACATATTTCAGTTAATTTAAAAAAAATAGGTTTAAACCTCAAATTTATTTATTTTTACATCGATAAGTTTGACAGTTTAAATCATAATTATTGGAATAAAAATATTGGCAAAAATTGGTATATAATAATAAAAGAAGAGTTTAATAAAAAAACTTTGATGAGTTAATATATTGATATTGCTCGATTATCGTATATTATATACTCCCTCCGTCCCATAAAACTTGGTCAATGTTGACTTGCACGTAGATTAATAAAGTAAAAACTGTGTGGTTGATATTTGTGCAGAAGAGAGAGAGAAATAATTTTAGCCACATATTTGTTACTTTAAATGGAAATGGCAATGTTTTTGGGACGTCCAAAAAAGGAAAGTTGGCCAAGTTTTATGGGACGGAGGTAGTACGTAGTGTGAGGTACAACTAGTTGTACTATGCGCCCGGTACAACCGGGTATTTTAATTTATACTTAATGAATATATAATTAAAATGAAATGAGTATATATTAGTATTAAATTATAAAAATAGCAAAACATATAATTTTTATGACAATACAATGATAATATAGTTAAATTAATAAGTTGATTTGTAGAGTATATATCATGTGTAGATCATAATACTCATTAGGTATAAGATACAATATTTGGTTGTACGGTGAGCACCGTACAACCTAATGTACAAAATATGTACTCCTCGATTACAGGGATAAATTTATATTGATCGAATAAATATGTATAAACTAGTGGAAATTTAATTTATTTAGAGGAGACTGTAATAAAAATGTTACGGGTTACAACTTTGTTTAATTTATTGTAAGAAAAGGAAAAAAAATTGTGATCACGATTGACGAGGTCTGCTTTAATCATTAGATGCATTAAGTTTTACCTTTGCGACTTGAGAAAATTACAACTTTTATGTTTGTACCGACCAAAGAAAAGAATATATTTACTCCGTGATAATAATGAATAAATAAAGAGAGGAAGTGGTCAGCCCGACTCACTCTCCCTATATATGAGTTTCAGCCTATATTACTCCATGCTCCCCCAGCCCCCTCCCCCAAATGTCCCCTCGAGTAAAAAAAAGAAGATTTGCACAACAATTAATTTAATTGAATTGAATTATTTGTTTTAGTCTGGTTTGCTCTAATATGATTTGTTTAAGCTTGATCTTAACTACTCTACTCAAGCTAGTAGATGTATGAATGTATGATATATGAATTTTACAATTGTTGAAATGTATTCTTACTTTTTTAAATCTGATTTGATCCGGGCTAAAATAAATCTAATTAAAACATCCTAGTCAAACTAGACCCGTTCATAGTTTCCGGTTAAAGCATAAGCCGACCATATTTTGAATGTCTTAAAAAAAAGGCTATAAAATATACGTAGTAACAATTTTTATTACAACTTATTAGACAACAAAATATTTTTTTCATTCTCGTAGTATACTGCTGTGTTAATATATACTCCCTATATTTTAAGTTAAATTTGGATGGACCGGGGCTAGGTGGCCCCTCTGGTTCCGACAAAAGTTTTCCGTCAATCCGTTTACTTCATCATCCCTTAAAACTTTCTTTTTTTAGTTGTCTCACTAACTTTGACATTTATAAAAAATTTGTGTTTCCATTTAATTCTCTCTTTTTTGCACAAACTTCAATCATACAATTTTTACTCTATTAATACTCATGCTCGTCAAATTTGTAAAAGTTTCAAGGGATGAGGGAGCTACTCCGTGTAAGACTTTGGGACTCGAACTTGATACGCAGACCGGGAGTATTAAATGAAACTAATCATTCACAACTTAATTACTTCCTCCGTCCCACTTTGTCTTGGCACGGAGATTAAGAAAGTGAAATAAAGTGGAAATGTATGGTTGTAGTTGTGTAAGAAAAAAGTGAAATGAATGTGAATCACACAAATTGTCCAAAAATGATAACCGAAAAGAATTTTTTTGAACGGTCCAAAAAGGAAAGTGGGAAGAATTTTATGGGACGGGGAGTAATGGAGTATTAGAAGTAACAATGAATTTTTGTAAAAAGAAAGATAAAAACAAATCAGTCATGTGAAATTCATAGTCAATTAAATAAATTACACAGAAAAATGATAGGATTTAATTTAAAAGACGAAAACCAAAAAATATGGAAAAAGACAAAAAAACAAAATACGATCGAAATGCGTCTCCATCTATGTAAATCATAATTACAGAGTCGATCTCGAGAGAGTCGATGCAGTGAGTGGTAAGTCAGTACCTTGAAAAGAAACGGCCGACCGGAAGTGAACGCCATGATCGCCGGCGATGTCGAAGCAGAGGTTCTCTCTGACTCTCTCTGATGCAGAGTAGTTGTTGTATGTATCCGCGGCTGTAGGAAATGGTGAACAGATTATTAAGTAGCTTAGTGAGGACAGGGAGGAAAAGGCTTTTCGAGGTCTGTGACTCTGTTCTCACGGGGCAGGAGCAGCAAGAGCTGGGGAAAACTTGTATCACAATTTGGTGGCCTTAGAATTTAGAAATGAGAGTTTTATTCAAGTAAAAGAAAAAGTAATGAGAATCCCCCCTCCCCCCACCCACGCCCACCATAAAAAAGAAATCAGCTTCTAATTTTTAACATTACTTTGCAGAGAAAATTACACTTTCAAACCTATTTAGTTTTTTTTTTTTGCATTTTAAACTCGTTTTAAACATGTATCATTTTTTTGAATAAAAAAAATTAAAATAAAAAATAATGTTGGTCCGTTTTAAAATGAAAAACAAAAACTCATATTTCTCGTATACACGCATATTCCCTGTATTTTACAAAATATGGAAACATGAATTGATTAATTAAATGAACAACAATAGTTTAAAAGCTCAAGGGAAAACCTCATCCTCGTGACCCCGTGTTTTTATACCGTTACAATACAAAATATACAATTATTAAATACTCTTTCTGATGGAGTATATGGCCTAGGAACCCTCGGCCCATAGACTCCTACTATTCTAATGGAGGCCCAATAGGCCCAGGAAGCACAGCAGGCCCAAATCACGGTGCCCCAAGCACTAAGCAACCCACGTGGCACACTAGAGGCGCCTTCGCCCCCCTGGCCGAAGGCTCCAGTTCTCACAGGATGGCCAAATCAAGAAAACAAAGTTACTGGGAGAAAACGGCGAAAATCAGTAGCCCTCGGCACCTAGAGCTCTCAACACTAAGGAAGTCCCCGGTACTCAGAGCCCTCGGCTAGTCACCTACAGCCGAGGGCCCCTTTCTCGACATAATATCCACACCACATGCGCCTGGATTGCCGTACCAAGTACGACGTCACATCCAACAGCCGCATTAAATGCGGCCACATGCGATTGCCAGCGCCAACCAGTTGAGGTGACCCCTCGGCCAATGGATGCTTGACACGTGTCCCTATATGGCATTTATTACTACTATAAATAGCACCCCATTTCCCCGTTTGTAACCCAGAAGCAAAATACGCTGAATACATATCTGATATATACTTTCTCTTACTTACTTGCTCTGACTTCTCTCTAGTTATTCCTCGCAATAACCCCTCGGATAAGCTACCCCCCGGGTACACTATCCATCATTTGGTGCTCTCGTTGAGACGTCGAATAATCAAGTAAGAAACCCTCCCCCTCGCCAAACACAAAACACCTAGCTAAAATGGTGAGAACAACTCGTGCCAACTCCAAGAATGTTGAGGACAGGGACCTGGCCCTCGACGAAGTCGACGTCCCCGAAGCCTCTAACAGGGCTCCCAGGGGCGGCGTCATCGCCGTGTTGGACCAGACGGCTGTCGACCTACGCCATCAGATTCAACAGAATGCCCCTGATGCCCGCCTCGGCGTCGAGGCCAAGAAAAAGGACCGGAGCGAGAACCAAGATAGCCCTCCAGTAATTACAATCGACGTACAATCGGCGTTTTCCGCCTTCATCCAGACGCTCACCCAGAATCTAGGTGCCTTCGGCACTTTGGTTCCCCTCCAACCTCAGGTCGGGGAGAATGTCATGCCTCCCCCTCATCCACACCCCCTCGGGAACCCAGTCCTCCGAATTGGGAACGTCGAGGGGGTCATGGCCCAAGATACGGCCTCCCAGGAAGTCCAGTCCCGGGACCGCCACAACGTGAACAAAGAACAACCCCGGACCTCCGCCCTCGAGAGACTCGGAGGGGCGCAAGACCGCCGAGGGGTCCAAGACCGCCTCGGGGGGAAGGCGTTCCAGAGGCCTCAGGAAAGTGGCGGATCCGTCTCCAGGGCCAATGAAAGACATCCCCCTCAGGACAAAGGCAAGGCACTTCTCCATGCCAACGACGCCCGCCACCAAATCAACCAGGCCCACTCGGCCCGTGTCCATTCGCAGGGGGCGGAGGCCCTCCCGAAGGACCCCCGGGATGAAATCATTGCGGCCCTCCAGCGCCGGCTCGACGAGATGGAGGCCACCAAAGCACACGCCACCACTTCTGCCCCTCATACAGACCTCAAGTATGAGGCGATGTTGGCCAAGATGGAGGAAATGCAGAAGAAGATAACCGAGGGCTCCGGGGAACCCACCATACAGCTCCGGACCCGGACGCCATTTACCCTAAGGGTATTGGCGGCCCGGATCCCGGAAAAATACCGAGGGCAACTCATCAAGCCCTACAACGGAAAAAACTGACCTCCAGGAGCACTACAGCAGATACCAAAACAGCATGATGATGGTGGGGGCATCAGATGAGTATTTGTGCCGCTGGTTCCTCTCCACCTTAGAGGGGCCGGCCTACGAATGGTTCAATCGATTGCCCGAGGGCTGCATTGACTCATGGCAAGAACTCGCCCAGCGATTCTTGACGTAATTTGCGGGAAAGCGCCGCACAAGAAAGCACTTCTCCCACTTGCTGACAGTGAGGCAGAGGAAGGAGGAGACCCTTCGGGACTTCTTGGAGCGCTGGAGAACGGAGGCTGATAAAGTTGATGGCGCTGATGACGGGACCCTCCTGGCCCTCCTCCAAACAGTACTCCGCCCAGGGAACTTCTCAAGGAGCCTCATCATTGACCCCCCCCCCCCCCCCCGCGATTATATAAGGGCCCTACAGTGGGGGGACAGGTATGCCGAAGCTGAGGAGGTGGAGAAGTGCCATTACAGCCCCGATCAGCAATGCCCTCGGCCAGACGACAAAGGCAACCGGGGGCCGGGGGCACCCCGTAACCAACCCAAGGATTCGGCACCCCCCGGTGATCGCCCCCGGCACGGCCAAGCCAAGCCCGGGGGAGGTTACAAAGGGAACCCGAGGGCTTGGGCAAAGCCTGTTCTCCTGGAGCACCCTCGGACACCTTTGACGCACCCCGTCAGCGTCATCCTTGATTTCGCTAAGGAGAGGGGCCTGGTGGAGCGAGATTCCCGCGCACCCCCGGAAGTGTATGCCATCAATCCAAACTACCCCTACTGTCGCTTCCACCGGCATCAGGGGCACAAAACCGATGACTGCCATCAGCTGAAGACAACCATCGAAAGGTTGATACAAGCGGGCCATCTGTCCTAGTTTATCCAGGGCCCTCAGCATCAGGGCCCCCCTCACCAAGGGCCACCTCGAGGGCACCCTGCGAGAGAAAACGCATGGGTAAACCCCAACACCATCCCCCTCGGCGAGAAGAGAGAGATTGGGAACCTGGAAGAAGAGGAGGAGGAGTACCCTCGGTACCAAGAAAAGAAGCGCCACATCCTCATGATCACCGGGGGCAATACCGGGGGTGACTCTACAAGTCAACGAAAGAAGTGGGCTCAGTCACTTTACATGGGGGAAGTCACTCATATGCCCCCAGTAAAGCGGATGAGGGAGGAACCCATCACCTTCACTAACGCTGATCTCCCCCCCAGTGTCCTCCCCACACAGGGATGCCCTCGTCATCCGCACAGAGATCAATGAAACTATAATTCACCGAACTTACATTGACACGGGCAGCTCCGTCAATGTAATGTACCTCAGTACCTTCAGAGAGCTGCATCTGGAGAAGGGGTCCCTTCGGCCCATCAAGACCCCTCTTGCCGGCTTCACCGGTGACACCATTGATTCCGAGGGGGTTATAACCCTCCCGGTACTCTTCGGCGACGGGCTCCATAGAGCCAAGCTCGAGGTGGAGTTCATCGTCGTCAACATCGACTGTGCCCACAACATCATCCTCGGCCGGCCAGCCCTCGAGGATCTTGAAGTCGTCATCTCCATGAGGCACCTCTGCCTCAAGTTCCCAGCCGAGGGGGGAATCGGTTACTCAAGGGGGAACCAAAAACTTGCCCGCGCTTGCTATCTTCAAGTGACGAAGAAGGTTAGCAAGACGGAGTTCCGCGTTGACACCATCACCGGAACTGTGGAAGCGGAAGAAAGGAGGCCGAGGGCTGAACCAGCCGAGGAGGTAGAAGACTTTGCGCTCGATCCGGCCAAGCCGGAAAGAGTCGTGAAGATTGGAGCCAAGCTCCCCGAAGACTTGAATACCGGCATCACCAGCGCCCTCCGCGCCTACTCCATTTTTTTTGCATGGGGGCCGGAGGACATGCCGGGGATCAGCCGAAGGGTCATCACCCACCGCCTCTCGGTGGACCTTTCGGCCAAACCAGTTCAAAAGCGGAGGAGACCCCTCTCGGCCGAGAGGAGGGAATTTGTGAAGAAGGAGGTCGCCATGCTCCTCTCTATCAAGCACATCAAGGAGGTAAAGTACCCCTCATGGATGGCAAACATAGTCCTCGCACAAAAACCGCCCTCATTCCGCATGTGCGTGGACTACACGGATCTCAACAAGGCGTGTCCCATGGACCCCTTCCCTTTGCCGAATATTGATCAACTTGTAGATGAAACCGCGAGGTGTGAAATCATGTCATTTCTCGATGCATTCCGCGGATATCATCAAATATTTATGCATGAGGAAGATGCTGAAAAAACAGCCTTCATGACTCCCGAGGGCATGTTCTGCTACCTTGTCATGGCCTTCGGCCTAAAGAACTCAGGCACCTCTTACACTCGGATGGTGGCCAGGGTATTTCAAGCTGTCCTAGGGCGCACCATGGAGGCATTGTTGACAACATGATCGTCAAAAGCAAGCAATCAGCAAGCCATGCTGACGACCTGAGGGAGATCTTTGCCATCATGCAGAAGTTCAACCTTCGGCTAAACCCGAAGAAGTGTACCTTCGGCATACAAGGGGCAAATTCTTAGGCTACATGGTGAGCCGAAGGGGTATCGAGGCCAACCCCGAGAAGATCCAGGCCATCATCAACATGGAGCCCCCACGCAACGTAAAGGAGGTCCAACGATTGACGAGCCGCCTGGTAGCCCTCAATCGCTTCTTATCAAAATCGGCGGAGAAGTCCTTACCCTTCTTCCAGATCATGAGAAAAACACTGGTTTCTAGTGGACTTCAGAGTGTCAGGGGGCCTTCGAGGAACTGAAACGGTACTTATCTTCACCCCCTGTGCTCTCTATTTTTGGATGAAATGTAAGTATATATTAACACCCAAGAAAATAACAAGTTAATGTTACAATAAAAGTGCATATCCTAGTATATAGGATACCACATAATCGAGAAAAACATCCTCCTAAATTCAACAAAATAAGCTCAAACACAAAAGATTCAAAGCTACAATCAAGCTACCACAAAATAAAATTAGGTATCCCTAATTTAAACTCCAAGGAAAGCTCGAAAAGGAGAAGTGAACCTTGAGTCAAAACAGATATCCCCTTTCTTTTTAGTAACTCCCGGCATCGCCTCGAGACATTTGGTCAAGAAAGTAAGGCCCTTCGCATCCAAATCGTCCGTAAGCCGAAGCGAAGAATCCACTCTAACCACACTCGAGTGCACGAACGTAAATGGTTTGACAATGAACTTGAATGTCTTACCTTTGGTGATCACAACTCTGACAACAACATCATCAATCCTCAAATATTTTGCATCCACAACAAACCTCTCAGTATCTTCCCACTCAGTATCGGAGCACTCATCATCGTTGGGAGACCCCTGGGCGGTAGGCTCTGACCTTGCAACTCCCTGATCAGTGTGCAAATATGTGGCACCGACAAAAACCGCGCTGGCAGACCCCTGGGACACTACCTGCCCAGAAGACCCGGTCGGGCTAGGGCAGTGCCCGGTCGGGTAAGTTGCAGCAGCAGGCTGGTGGCTAGGCTGGCCTTCAATAATAGCAGCAGCAGAAAAAACTTCCGCAGCAACCAAAGTAGCAGTGCACGGTTCAACAGTAACCAAGGCAGCAGTGCACGGTTCGGCATTAACAATAACTTGAGCAGGTTGAAGAGTATCTGTATTAACTTCAACCGCAGCAGCAGACATGGGATCAAGCACCGACTTTGCACAGGCAGTTTCAGTCTTTTCTTTATCTGCTAGATGCTTGCAGATGAAAGGATGATGACCGTAAAGTTTGCAATGGAAACCGTAATTCGGGAAAGTTTCATAGAGGACCCGCTGCTCAAAAATCCTACCCGATGCCATCTTGATTGGAAAGGAGAAGGGAGGTGGCTTTGACACGTCCACTTCAATTAGAACTCTAGCGAAGTTGTGGTTTGCTCTTTCAAGCGTTATCCTATCCGTGGTGAGTGGAATACCAACCTTAGAAGCAACTTCGCTAATAGTGTCCTCATTCCACAACCTCACGGGGAGTTTAGGGAATTTTATCCAAATCGGCACTTTCAAGAACTCATCATCTTCAAAGGAAAAATCATCGGACAGGACCTTCAAAACCAACAACTTTCCATAGAGGATATAGGGCCCCTCAAGCATAACCTTAGTCCTATCAGCTTCGTTCTTGAATTTAAAAACAACCCAGCCTTTATCATGTGGTTTGACTTGACAGTGAACTCCCCATTTTTGTGTGAGGCTATAGGTTGCCTTTAAACCAGGAAACCTTCCCGTGAAAAACCCCACCAAACAGTAGCCAAAGATATCCACCATTGAAGGTAGCACACGGTCTGAAAAATCAAGCATATCACTAGTTGGTGGAATATATCTCAGTTTCAGCCCTTCGGAAGGAGCTCGATTGTCTTTAAACAAAGTATTCCATTGCTTCTTTTCTGGCATTTTAGGTGAACCTGCTGCAACAAAAGTTACTGCTTCAGGTGCAGTAGCAGTGACATTACTCACGCTCCCAGCATCTTTAGCAACAGTTTTCCCAGCATCTTTAGCAGCAGTTGGCTTCCCAGCAAAAGCCCCAATTGCAGCAGGTTTTCCAGGCAACAAAACAACAGTTGGATTCCCAGAAGTGGCCTCAATTGCAGCAAGTTTCCCAGGAAATAAGGCAACAGATTTCTTCCCTGCAGTTTGTGGCAGTTCATCAACAGCAATGGCTTTAGTGGCAGTTGGTTTCCCAGTGGTTATAACAGAAGTCCCAGGTGGTTTCCCAGTGGATTTATCTTCAGTAGCAGGTGCCGTTGATTTCCCAGCAGAAGGTTCCTTCCCAGGTTTAACTACCAGCGCAGGTTTCATTGCAACGTACCCATCAATGCCCTGAACATCTTCCTCCGGAGTTCGTTCAGGTGAAAGACCTGGAAATTCGTTCTCCAGCAACGTGAACCTCGACCTGGTCACCCTTGCCTCTGAAACCTCACCAAGTCCCTGTTTCTTCCTCGCCATCTGCGTAGAAAGTAGAATGCACTGGCGTACAAGCAGTTCGAGGAAAAATGAGCTTCAGACACCGAGAAAAAGGTTGGTTAGGTTCGCCCTGAGATGGGGGAAGCCAAACCAGTTCCGAAATGCAGAGATACGCAGCCAAGATCAGGTATTCGGCCCTAAACCGAAGTTATGAACAGTAAAATCGCGACAGTCCAGCCAGCGATTTTGTGTGCAAATCAACAAGCCAAGCTCGAATCCAAGGTCGGAAAAAGGTTGGGAACAAGATTCTGACTTAAACAGCAACAACACGCCGATTCCAAACATCAAACGCTCAAAATCGAAACTATGAACCCATGATTCGAATGGAAAAAAGGGGGCTAGGTCGCAGGACCTAGGAGAGAAACTCTCTCAACCTTTTTTTGAAGCAATTTCTTAGTCACTACAGAAGGGTGGGTTCACCCCCTGTGCTCTCTAAACACAAGTGGGGGAGATCCTATACCTTTACCTGGGTGTTAGCCCGGCAGCCATCAGCTCAGTACTCATCCGGGAAGAGGATGACATCCAACATGTCATCTTCTATGTTAGCAAGACCCTCAAGGAAGCAGAATTCCGGTACTCCCCTTTGCAAAAAACGGTGTTGTCTATCGTGTGGACCGTCAAGAAGTTGGGCCATTACTTCCAGGCTCACCCGGTCCAGGTCCTCACTCACCAACCCCTCTGTGCTTTGATGAGGAGCCCCACCAGCTCCTCCCGAATGGGAAAATGGGCTGTCTTCCTGAGCCAATACAACATCGACATCCGTCCTAGGCCCGCCATCAAGGGCCAAGCCCTGGCGGACTTCGTGACGGAATGTACGGCAAGATCAGCCACGGACGAGGAGCCCTCGACCCCCTCGGATGATTGGTGGACCCTCTACACCGATGGCTCCTCCGCCGTCAAAGCATGTGGAGGAGGGGTGGTTCTCATCTCACCCGAAGGCTTCCGGGCCTATTATGCAGTCCGCTTCTCCTTCAAAGTCTCTAACAATGAAGCCGAATACGAGGCCCTCCTCTGTGGCCTTCGGCTGGCAGCTAACATGAAGGCCCGACAAATCCACGTCAAATGCGACTCCAAATTAGTTGTCGGCCAAATTTCCGGGGACTACGAAGCCAAGGAAGGGAGAATGAAGCAGTACAAAGAAGAGGCCAAGGAGTTGCTTAAGGTATTTGAGGCACACTCTCTTACTCAAATACCGAGGGCTCAAAACTCCGAGGCCGACATTTTATCCAAGCTCTCAGCCGAATCCCCTTAGCATATCTCAAAGATTGCCAAAGTGGAAGAGCTCAGCCTCTCTAGCATACATGCTAGCCCCATCATGCACATACAACAAAGGCAAGATGACTGGATCTCAGACATTGTCGCCTTCATCACCACAGGGCAACTGCCCGAGGATGAGGCCTGCGCCAAGCTCGCTAAGCTGAGGGCTCCTAGCTACACTATCGAAGACAGGAGGCTTTACAAAAGGTCCTACAACGGGACATTACTTCGGTGCCTTCATCAAGATGAAGTCGAAGTTGCGATGGAGGAAGTGCACAGTGGCACTTGTTCAGCTCACCAGGGACCCTTCTCCATGTCCCGAAGGCTAATAATCCAGGGCTACTTTTGGCCTACGATGGCCCGGGATTGTGCAGATCTCGCCCGAAGGTGTACCGCATGCCAACACTTCCAGAAAGCCCCCGGCAGGCCATCGGTCAACTATGCCCCCATCAGCACATCCATACCCTTCACTCGATGGGGCATAGACCTTATGGGCCCCTTGCATCGTCGCCATCGACTACTTCACCAAATGGGTGGAAGCTGAGCCCCTCGCCAGCATTACTGAGGCCAGGTGTCGTCATTTTGTCCTCAAGAACATCCTCACAAGGTTTGGCGTCCCCCAGCAAATTATCTCCGACAATGGGACTCAGTTTGAGGCATCCCCCTTCTGTGCCCTCCTGGAGGCATGGGGCATCAAACACACCTTCTCATCCGTTGCCTACCCTCAAGGCAACGGTCAAGTGGAGAACGCCAACAGGACCTTGCTCGAGGGCCTAAAGAAGAAACTGGAGGCCGAAAGGGGTGGTTGGGTAGAAGAGCTCCACAACATCTTATGGGCCTACCGTACCACCCCTCGGCGAGCAACATGCGAGACACCCTTCTCCCTTTGCTACGGATTTGAAGCAAAGGCCCCCACTGAGGTAACTCTTCCAACCCGAAGGGTCACACAATATGATCTAGAGGCCAACGACGCTAATATGGCCCTCGACCTCCACCTTATTTCAGAACGCCGAGAGCAAGCCTTCATACGCGCGGAAAACTACCGAAGGCAAGTGAAGAGTTACATTGACGCCAAAGTCCGCTCCCGAGAATTCCAAGTGGGGGATTATGTCCTCCGAAGAAAGGAAGCTAGCCAACCAACCGAGGGCGGAAAGATGGCACCAAAGTTCGAGGGCCCCTACATCGTGGCGGCCATCATCAAACCAGGAACTTACAAACTAAAACGCCCCAATGGGACTGAAGTCCCTAGACACTGGAATGTACATCACTTAGTTAAATTTTATCAATAACATCAGAGTGACCAAGCCCTCATAACTAGTGAATGTATTATTTTGCGGCCCAAGGCCTAAAAATTTTGAAGAATGAGAGCATATTGAAGACACCAAGAACATGGAACAAGACTCTTACGAGTGGCCAAGCCCTCATATCACCCAAAGGCCTTATCACAAGCAAGAACCCTCGGCACCAAGTGCCGAGGGTAGACAATACCATCGCCTACAGCAAGAAAAAAATACCAATTGTCTTCAATGAAGACCCCTCGGCACCCAATGCCGGGGGGATGCCCTACTGTCAACTACCAAACAAACGGAAGAAAAACACCAAGTGTTTCCCATGAAGACCCTCTGGCACCAAGTACCGAGGGTATACACCTCAATCACCTACGATAAGGGAGTAAAAACACCAAATGTTTTTACAGAAGACCCCTCAGTGCCAAGTGCCGAGGGAAGACACCTCAATCACCTACAACAAAGGAAGAAAACACCCAGTGTTTTCAAAGAAGACCCCTCGGTACTAAGTACCGGGGGCCGTACACCGGAACAAACACCAAGTGTTGTTTCTAAAGCCGTACCCCTCGAGGACGCATATACCGAAGGCGCCACCTCTCGGTGCTGGCAGCACGTAGTGCCCCCGGCCAGTTGCACCCAGTGTGCAAATGAAAACCCTTCCCTGAAACGCTTTCCGCGTCATTACCCCAAGGGTATGACAGGCAAGTAATATGCCCAGGATTCGACTTTCAAAAACGGAACACTTTCTGCGCCATTTCCCCAAGGGATTGGTAGGCATCTAATATGCCCAGGATTCGACTTCCAAATCGAAACGCTCCCTGCACCACTACCCCAAGGGTGTGGCAGGCCACAGATTATGTCTAGCGCCGAGGGGACGACTTTCAAAACTGAGGCGCTTTCCGTGCCATCTCCCAAGGGGAGGCAGGCTACAGACCATGTCTTGTACCTAGGAAACGACCCTCGATCCCCTCGGAACTCGGAAGGTTAACCCGAGGGGGGAGCTAATGGTGTATTATGTTACCTCCCGATAGGCCAAGCCTTACTAAGAAACCAAGTTTCTTGAAGCCTTCCCTTCACTACAAAAAAAAAATGGGGTGGTGAAGGGGAGTAGACTCAGCGAGAAATCAATGAGTACACCACTCCAACAATTCACGGAAACATACCGAGGGCTCCCCATGGGAATACCTTCGGCGCCTGGAAGCTCCTAAATTACCAAGAATACTATTCAACAAGTATCATCAACAAATGGCTAAGTCCACTCCTTGCTTGCCTCCGGGTAAATCAAAACCGAAGGCTCAAGTCCTACAAAACGTGACGGGCTCACTCAACAACAACTCAAAACGTCCCCGAAGGCTACTATACAACAAAGCTATCAGATGTTGGCCAAATCCAAGCAAGAATCACCTCCGGCACCTCACTAGACGCCGAGAGGATACAAACATGCATTGTCCGAGGGAGTCTGTCTTTTTATGCTGCACTTGAACTACAAAATTCTAAGTCAACATTGAGGGGACATGACAACAGCCGAAGGCTTATGTTGCCGCAGGCCAACCTTGCGAGACAAAGGAAATTGTTCTAAGCCCACAAAGTCTGCAGCCGAAGGGTCCCCCGACCGAAGGCCAGCAACAGGAAATACTTTGAAAAATTTTCTAAGTCCTAAGTACTTTGCCCTCTGTCGAGTCACCGGTCAACCGAAGGTACACCTACGACAAGGCTCTCACACTTCACCCGAAGGCTCCTACCTCATACAACTACACTTAGAAATATTTTCTAAGTCCTAAATATTTTAGGCCCTCGGTTATATATCCATGCAGTGAAGGGTGCCCACGTGTCGAAGGCCAGACGGTATTCAAACACTTAGGAAAAATTTTCTAAGTCCTAAGCGCCTTGGCTCCGGTTATCTCATGAAGGCTACACAGAACAAGAGGGAAGGAATTAGCCGGGGGCAAACAGATGAACAACACTTAGAAAAGATTTCTAAGTCCTGAACGTATGGCCCTCAGTGAGACATTCAGAGGACTAAATGAGCCTAGTAGCCGAGGGCTACAAGGGGCACTATACTTAGAGAAATATTTTCTAAGTCTTAAAAACTTTGGGCCCTCGATCATGTATCCATGCAGCAAAGAACGCCAACATGCCGAAGGCCAGATGATATTCATTCACAAAGAAAACAGAGGCATACATTCAAAGAAAACAAAGGCATGCATTCAAAGGAAAACAATCAAAGGAAAACGAATTATATACAAAAGCCCGAAGGCAGATATTCATTCATCAAAAAGAAGGAAAAGTGAAATGTCTGTTACAGAATGGCCGAGGCCGGGAGTATACTGATGTCCATTAGAAAATTGTTCAAAAAAAATTACTAAGTACAAGTTGTCATTCAGCCTTTGCTTCCTCAGCAGGCTTCGAGGTGACCTCTACTCCGGCCCCTTCCTCTTCTTCCTCGGCCTCCTTCAACAGCTCAGAATCCTCTAATTCTGGCCTTTCAACGCCTTCGGGAAGGGGGACTCTGATATCTGGTTGGAGGGGGGAGGCCATATGCCACTGGGTCGAAGGCCTTCGGTTCAATCTTCAGATGTCGCGCAAGCCTTCTGTAGATCAGGGCCTGGGTGAAAATTTCCCCCCAGCATAATAATCTTCGCCCTTTCGGGCTAGCCACATCGCCCCAGGGCCCTTCACCCACCCGTCAGCAGATCCCTCTACGACCGAAGCCACCCAATCTCTATGGCCTTCTGCCTTTCACCCCTCGGCCATGAAGGCAGCAACAGCACCGGCGGCGGCCTCTGCTTTGGCGGCCTCCGCATCCTCGGAAGCTTTCTTTGCGGCCTCAGCAGCGGCCCTCTCGGACTCAGCTCTCTCCTTGGCCGCCTTCTCCGCTGCAG